ATGTTAGAGAAGTTACGAGCTTCTTTTAATACAAATTTTCTTAATATTTGTAACATGATAATTTAATATGTGATGTGATTGAATGTAATATGACAAGCTTCTTTCAACACAAATTTTATCAATAGTTTTTATGATCAGTTCTTTTAATAAAGACTATATTATTAATTTTACTACCAACAAGATATTACTGCTGATGTAGCACTGCTGATATAATAGAAAATTTATTAATACTTCTACTCTAAGTATCTTCTATTACAAATTTTATTAGCAGTTTAATGCTGATCAGAAATTAATTCCTTTAATAAAAACCATATTCATAATTGTACTAACTGAAGATTAAAGCAGGTCTTTTAATGCAAACAAACTCTGACACTAACTGGCTATTATGTTCGTGACTATGAAGTAATATATAAGATTCTCTGACAAACATTTTGTATTAAAAATATTAGTGGAAGTTTTAATAAATTGTATTAGTTACATTGATGTAACATAACCTATACTTTGTGACATTTTTATGTCATCAAACTGAGTTGCATAAAAAACCTAACCTAACAGCATTTCGTATATAATATTTGAAAATGGTAATTGTCTGTTGTAATTGTTACTGAACCACATTGTATACACATTACGTTTATTTATATTAATAATATAATACATATTAGTAAATTGTTTTGATGAATCTTCAAAGCTGACAGTAAGCATTATTCCGCAAAATTTTTACGTAATCCGTGTCACACATTCGGCGTTTCGAATTTAGTCAACTGCATATGCAACGAGGTGATATGCATATAATAAACAATCAAATGATATGCAAAGGGCCACCCGAACGTTACGTGTTATTCATGAGTGTCAATTCGCCGAATATTTATTCTTGACTCGACCCGTTCATCTTGCGAGCCGAGTGAAAGATTTCTCGGGCAGGATTAACGAGACGGCTAATAAAAATTCAATGTGGGTCTAAATATAAAGACTCGCAAATTCAACGTGCAGTTTTTACGATCGCCATTTTATGGTCGCAGTAATTTATCGATAATATTCCTGGAAGAATAATAGAAGGCGATCTGTCTTAGAATCTGGCTAAACGGATACCAAGTTCCGAGAGGTCTTCCGCTAATGTATAATCCACACTGTATAATGATTACGCTCGTCACGACTCTTTCTCGCGGAATCAGATTTAATCGGATTTAATTAACTCTCTGATTCCCGGTGGAACGTACGATTTTTTGCAAAGGTGACTCTGTTACGAGGAATCCGTTAAATTAAATATAAATACTGTTTTTAGATTATTTTACGCTCTGATATTACCAAAATGTCTACAAGTTTCGAAATATAAGTTACATACAAGAATTCGAAATAGTTTCTTGAAATCTTCGTTGATTTTTATCAAGATTAATTAATACGTGTATGATTTTATGTTTAGACGTCTATTCACCAGTTTTAATTTTAAATTAAGTCCACACTGGTAGGTTTAGTGGTAATTGACTGTCATCACGTGTGAGTGACGTTCAAATTTTCGTACAAATCCATCACGTTATTAATAATTCACGTAATTAGAAATGTTGTATTTACACGGTGACTGCCATGTTGAAGCAGTTGAAAATTCTGTCAGATATTTTTACTTCTTTCACTAAATATTTTCAAATGTTAACAATATTTGTTATTCACAGTTTCAAGCAGTTTTTATGAATTTTTTTAACTAAGTTTGTAGACAAATTCTTAATACAGATAATAGATACGTATGAAAGTTTATATCACACATGTCATCCATATGTGACCTGACAGTAAAAGTATAAACTTGAAATGTAACAAAATATTGTAAAAATATTTAATGAGATTCGTCAAGTATAAAAATGTCAAAACTAAAAACGTCAAAAATAAAAATACTCAAATTCTCAACAGCTTCAACGTGCTAATTGAATTATTTGATCATTGAACCTGAAACATCAGATTCCCAAGATATGTAAAAAGTCAAACAAGATTTGATGACATAAAAGTATCACCGAGTAACACTTATGGCATATCTAAAGCTGAAAGTTTGACAGGATAGATCACATAACTTTTCGTCAGTATTCGCATTACAAAATGGCTGGTTGCCAATTACAGAAAACAATGAACGATTTAGGTCCCTTGTGTCTGACGCCAATTGATGACAGAAATATCTCGAAATAGCAGTTATTCTACATCAATTTCGAGTTTAGGTGAAAATTATACTGAAACTGATAATGTAAATTGGTTGATAACATTTTTATTGAGAAACTAATTGATTATATTAAATCGCGATAGGAACTTGCACGTGGTATAATAAATTACACTAAACGTCTGTTAGGGTTCGATGGCGTAAAAGTATAATAAAATAGCACTTACATCAATTTGAAGCTCGAAGTTCAATAAAAATTAAGTATTTAAAATTTGACATGAAATGATGCGATCAATTTTATTCAATTACAAAATTAAAAATTAAATTTAATTAGCACTGCTATATTAAAAAGTTGGAAATTTTGCTAACTTTACTTTTAAGTAAAGTATTGAATTTTTGCTTTTAACAAATGTTACCAAATATTTTCCCAATATTTACTACATTTATTCGTAGTTTCAAGTGGTTGATATAAGTATTTTCGTAACAAGCTTTAAAATGGAGTTACGTTATGAAGTACTGTCTGAAGTACTATTTTGTCATACTTTCATGTCATTAATAAAAGGAATAATTAATAATGAATTACGTCACGAATAAAGAATAAAATATCTCGATATGTAATATGTCAATATTTTTATGCCTCGACAATTTTTTATTTGAAACCTAAAATTTTCTGTACAATCACTGAATTGCCATTCATTTTAGATAATGAGCGTACTTACATGATTACCGTTTCAAACGAATCTTAATTCGGAATCTAGTTGTCTAATTTAAATCGATGATTTTGCTTCACTTATCAAATGATTGTATCGACGTACAAAGGAAATTGATTGTCATTGTGCTCGATTAAAAATCATTTTACTAATTGCGTGTTCCGCTAGACTGAACGAAATGATCGGGGGATACATTATAGATTGTTATACGAAGTTTAACTGTTTCGTAATTGGTTCGATGTATACGTTTTATTTTACTGTTTTTCGTCCTTGTAAAGCGGTGATCCCATATGAAATTTTATCTTTTTAGGTGAAAGAAGTATCTTTTATTAAATTTTATTGAATCTTGTAGTAAATTGAAAACTGCAAAATTAAAAGTATGTAAAATATTTGCAAATATTTAAATACGTAATTTTTTAAATTTCTTATGAAAGTTTTCAAACCTCCAGAATTAAAAATGTGCAAACATAAAAACATCGAAATTTCTAAATTTAGAAATGTACAAATGTAAAAACACCTGAGCTTCTAAATTTAAAAGTGTGCAAATGTAGAAGTGCGTCCGAACTTCTAAAGTTAAAACATCTGCAAGTTGAATAACACCTGAACTTGTAAATAAAAAAATCTGCAAACTTCAAAACATCTCAAACTTCAAACTGCAAAATCAAATATACACAAATGTATGAACTTGAAAACTTAAAAACTTTCAATTCCTAAAATTTTTCAACTTCAATAATAAATATGAATTTGAATACATTTCATATTTTATTTCAACGTTGCCTACACATAAATTTACAACCCATGCAGTAAAATTATCTCTTAACATTTAAAATTTAACAGTGAATGTAAGAACTGAAAGTTGCCTTAAAAGGTTAAGATATGAGTGTTCACTTAACACATTATTAACCTTTTACTTCAACTGAATTAAAGAAACAGTAAAATGTAGGAAACCATAAGTAACTTTATTTTCATGAAACCTAATAATAGCGAATATCATCCAACACAACAAGTTCCATAATTTTATAATTTAATTGCATAAATTGGTGATAAGTATAAGATATGTATAAGTGTAAGTGTACGATATATGATATATCGTTATATAATATGTTAAATATTGTTCGAGTATGATCGATACGTATCGAATCCATCACTACCGTTGAGTGGTTATCATCGCCCCGGTACGGGTCACTCACCTGACGACTATCATAGCCAGTCGTTAAGCTATAGTACTAGCAGCCATACCGGAAATGCCGTCTCGCACAGACATCTATTTCTTTTGTATACGTTCGTGACTACGCTACGATATCTTGATCTCTCTTACGTTCATTTGTACCGTTCGTTTACATGCACTCTGCTAGTACATCGCTCTAAACGATATTAAAATGAATGAGCGCCAGATTATTATGATTCTATACTGCGTTCAATTTTAATCGCACTTCGAATAATTTTTATTAATGTTGATTACTTAAATTTTTTTACGAATCTGTACTTAAGGCAGTTTACTAATTTATCGATATGGAAATATTTGTATTGACTGTGAATAATAAATAATACAAGTATTTGTATTAACTTGATTAATAGTTAATAATATTTAATAGTCATAATTGTATTAACTTGACTAACAGTTAATAATATTTAATAGTTATAACTCTTAATAATAATTATTGTGTAATAATATTTACAGTGAGTAACAGTTCATACTGTTAGTGTGAATAATAATATAAACTATGAACAATTGGTTGTCAATACTAGTAGAAACTATGAGTAATAAATATTAAATTTGTTGTGAATAATAATATCAACTATGAATAATAAATATGACAAAATATTTGTAACAATATATGGCAAGATTTGTTAAAAATATAAATGCGATGCAATTCAACTATTTCAATATGGCAGCCAATTTGTATTTTATTCGTAATTCGTAAAGATCATCAAATTTTTTATCATCAAAGATCAGATTTTTCAAAATATTATTATTAACATTCATTCATAATATTTATTACTTTCATTAAAATTGAAAGGTTGTATAATAACATAATGGTATCACTACATAACCTAATATTTAATTTTTCTATCTAATCTGACACGATGTCTTTCAACGTAAGATTACAAACATAGTAGTTTAAAAGAATGTAAATACAAAGTTAACATACCTTGATCAACTCGTGTCGAACAGACTGGGGATTTTTGTCGATGGCCACACTGATACAAAGGGCAAACAACGCTTCTTCGTGCCTGCCCAATGCTGACAAAGCCACTCCTCGCCTGTAATGACCCTGTCGACGAACAACGCAGCAATTAGCACATGAACGGTGATCAATTTTAGTTGATGACAGTCGACGAGACGTCTTATCGTGCGGAACGTTGTATTTACAATTAATTGAAAAAACGAACAATTCAAATATTAAGTCTTTTGCACTAGACTGCCTCAATTTTCGGTTTCATATAATACAAGTATTTATTGTTCATTGTGGAAATTTAAATAGAAAGGAGATTTTGAATATTTAATCTTTTGCACTCAGATGTTTCACATTTAGTATTCTTTGATAGAATGATATGACTGTTTATTGTTAGTTGAGAAAATTCAAAATGGAAGAAAATTTTAATATTTAACTTTTTGCATTTGGAAGGTGGCTCAAATTTAGTATTGTGTTTAATAGAAGAATAGGACTGTTTACTGTTAATTGAAAAAATTCAAAATGAAAGAAAATTTTGATATTGAATTATTTACGTTCGAAAGGTGGCTCATATTTAGAATTCGATTTAATATAATAGTTTGAAAGAGGTGTTGTTTACTTAATATCTCTAGAATATATGTGATATGATAATAAAATAATTCTAGAATAATAATTGAATAATAACAGAATAATAATAGAGTTCTGAACTAGAGTTCTGAGATTTCTGAACTAATAAGAGTTTAAGCTTCTGAAAGTTACCACATCAGCACCAAAATTTCGAGAGTAAAGAATGAGGTTATAAATCAATCATAATGGAATCAAATCCATCAAATCAAATGTTTTTAAAATTTGTCCCAAATGCAATATGCAATAATTTAAAACAGCTAGAAATACCACTGATAAAATATAATGATTCATTCGTTAGATTTCTAATATAATTATCATAAGCCTATTCCTAACCTCTTCGAAGTTTCGCAAACGTATTTACGCTCGAAATAAATATACACTCGTATTAACTTTCACAAACTTCAAAAATTAAAATTCATCGCAGAAATTAAAATTCTATAACATATTAAGTAATACGTTTTGTATGATTATGTTTTATTTACGTCAGGATTGCAACTGTTCGAATCTTTGAATACTTGCAAGGTAAATGTACCTCATCGTGAATCAGGATGTTAGGAAAAGTACATGAAGCGAATGTTTCTTTAACTTTACAGTTTTCATACGGTATATAATCCGAGAAACGGTACTCTGACATTAAAGTGACCATGTTTGTGTGATACTATGTACATACAAGCGAGGAATATGAGGAATTTAATTAGTAGATTGAGATCCCAGTAACGGAATGATTATCGCGATAACCTGGTTTATGAAATGAACGAATGTTGCACAATATTTCTTCATTTTTTTGATACTTTTTAATGATAATTGTTGGAATTATTTTTGAACGACTTTAATTTGCGTAATTAGAGGAGACTATTACGAAGGCAAGTCTATGAAAATATAATGAAATGTGAAATTAATTGAAATGGAGTTAATGGAATTTAATGAAATTACTGAAATAAGAGAAATACATTTTGGATGTTTGTTATTTTCTTCTTAATTTTTGTTTGATCGATATGAAGTTTGTGAATTCGGTAATTTAGTGATTGGAAAGTTGAATTTTATACGATTCAGAAGAGAAGAGTGCAACTTTGAAAATATCGAAATTAGGAAATTGGCAAATTTGAAAACACAGTAATTCCATAATTTGGAAATGTTTAAATATACGAACCTTTTAAATTTAGGATAAAACTGATTTCTTAAATTTACAACCTTTAAAATTTTACAAGTCTAAAATTTTATAAATTGAGAATTCACAAATTTGGAAATTAAAAAATGAAAAAATCTGAAAATTTAAGAACTTGAAAAATAAAAAAATTACTTTTTAATTAGACAACTAAAAAACTAAAGAAAAGTAGATAACTAAAAAACTTAAGAAATGTAGAAAACAAAAAAACTTAAGAAATGTGAGAAACTAAAAAGCTTAAAAAAACGAAAAAATTCGACAACCCAAAACCCAGACAATTTGAAAATCTAAAAATGTACAAAAATAGAGTGAAAGGAGTCGGTTCTCTAAAGGAAACTGTTCGTTTAACGCTATCTGACGTTTTGATTGTAGTATGCAGCCCTATCGTACTATGAATCACAATGTTATCAAGTCATACGTCACCAGTATAAGCGACGTAAGTATCTGAATTTTCGTCGGTTAGTTCATACGTTCATTTATACAACTGTTGCGATAAATACAGGAAAATAATTGGAGTAAAGTAAATTATTACAAAATCGTTGCAAATTTTTTCGACAGATAATGACTCAAACTCTGTTTTCCTTCATATTTACTGTTCTACGAGTTTATGTTCATTTAAAACAACATACCGATTATAGTTTATGAGTTCATCACTCTAATATTGATTTGGAATAAATGAAAACTATAATTGTTAAATGTAGTGTGGAGCAAAATAATATTAAATATGTTATAGTTGCATATGTAAATATAATATGTAGTTACATATGTGTTGTTATTAATATATGAATATTTTATGGTAATTTAATATAATAAATATAACATAACATATATCCCCTTTTCACATAAAAAATATGATACAAATATAATATCAAATATTTTCTCTTCGTCTTCAAATAAAATATTACAAAATAACGTAATACATTCTCTTTTTCTTCAAAATAAAATGTATCACATTATGTAACATATTCTCCCTCTTTCGAAATCAACAAAATTTGTCAAATAAAAAATATTAGAACATAATATATTTTCCTTCAAGTAAAATATATTGCAAAAATAATACAAACTTTTCTTTTCTAAAATTACAAAAAGACAAAGCTAACACTTTGACCCACTGTACATCAAACAATAACTAGAACTCCAACAAGGCTACAAATATGTCCCGTCACTTTTAAAAAAGACACCAATTAGGTTAATTGAGATTCATAACTGCACAACCGATTCAGCATGGATACAAAAATTCTGCCGTTAGGGAAACATTTCGCTCATTTGTCACGTTCTTGGACAAGATAGTTTCTTTTCGAGAGATCTAATCCAACTTCCAGATCTGGGTTAGGACGTCACCGTGGTTTCGGTAGGTTTGAATCAAGATTGGGTTAGGGATGGAACAACTCGTAGCCAAACATCTGATCGGACAGCGTGCCAAGTGGGAGAAACGCTCTCTATACCCCACTTTTTATATAAACAATAATCTCTTACACAATTTTTTACAATTAACATATTCCATAAAATATGTCCGCAATAATTCGTTAATTCATTCTTAGAACACGAAGCTATAAATTCTCTTCCACCTACATTTTCAGCTAATTTATTGCCACGGTTATTATTGCTTCTTTTGTAACATCACTTTAGAACACACAAACAAAGTTATGAATTTCACTGTTACGTTGACAGAATTGTTATGCAAGATCTACTTTTCCTTAACTTTGTTCAGATAGAAGTTCACCCAAACAAAATTATCAAAATTGTTTTATTTTAATTAACTGATACTAAGGGGATAATTGGAAAATTTCAGTTTTCACAGACTTAATAAAGTTTTCGATTAAATTCTAATCAATTTCAATGATTTTTAATTCTTGAAACATGGATTAACCTTCTGTATTTATAGATTTTATTTCGACAGTTATAATAACTATTAAGTTACAGTTAATCCGAGTGCAAAGGATTGAATATAAAAAGAAGCTAAAAAGAAGTTTCTCACCTTTCCCCAGTCCGGTCGTAGCCTAACAGCATGATCAGCGTCGGTGAGGGAAGCTTGAGGCCTATTCAACAGGAGCAAAACATGAGCCCTGTTGCTAAGATGGAGTGGGCTGTTTGGCGCTGAAACAAGAAAACACACGGCTATAAAGCATCGCTAAAATATTGTCTTCGACGGGAAGTTTTCTTGGCAAGAGCGGAGTCCCTAGCGTTTCGACGAAAACCTTCTTTCTCTCTGATTAAATTGAGGGAAAGATTTCGAGTAACGGGCCAACGGATTCTAAAGTAGAACTTCGGGTATTTGAAGAATTTCAATTTTCCGGAAAATCGAAACGTTTTCCTGCTTTTGGAATTCGTGAATGTTCAGTGAACTGTAAATAATAACGTCGGTTTCTGTAAGCGTTCTAAATAAACGTTTACGGTTTTTATTTGATATTTATGTATCTTGTAAATGGGCTATTTTTAGGAATGTTACTTGAAAGTATACTTGTAAATAGATATGTACTGATAAATATTATTTTTTTATGCTAATTTGATATATGTGATAGTATCTTTATTTTGTGATTTAATAAATTATAGCTAATTAGTAGAATGTTTCTAATTTCTTTCATGAAAAATTTTTATACAAATCAAGTTTCAAATTTTTTTTTCTTTTTATTGAAATATTAATGGTTGAAATAAAAAAATAATGATTAAAGCAAATAGTAAGGGTTGAAATCTCATAACAGATAAATTGTGACCTAACTACTGAACAAGTACTGGGTTAGTTGTGACCCACCTGTTACACCTACGAAATATATTTCTATAATACTTGTATTAAAATTGCGAACTTCAGTATCGTAATAGCAGTAACAATAACCAAACCAGATAATCCGCTAAAGAATTAAATTTTTTAAAAAATTGAAAGAGAAATTGAGAAAAAGTATTGATGAATTGCACAAGTGTCCCGCATATCGAGTAATATCGCTTTACATGAAATTCTTTGACAAGATTTAGTACGAGTGCAGAAAACTCAACCATCCACTGCAACGGAATGCACGACGATCTCAGCGAAGGAAAGCTTGCAATTAGCATGGTCGAATTAAACTGCACAAATTAATTGGCTTACATAAAAGGCCGGAGAGCAGAATTGAATGGTTCTCGTTCTCTGTGTTCAGACGAGTAGACATCGAAATACTTCAGCGAATGACAGTGTTTAAATATTCGAGATAAAAAAGGACTGACCTTTTTCAGATGCAATTGATATTTTTTGCTTCATTTTTTCTTGTTGGTTTTAAGATTAATCTGTGTGTTCTAAAAACTGATTTCAATTTATTAGTATTATATTTGAAAGGAGTGACCTTTTCCAGATATAATATCAATTGCATAATTCTTTAGATGGTTAATTTTTTTTTCTAATTTAGGGTTAATTTTAAAAGCAATCTTAAAAGCAATTTTAATGATTACCAATTTTTAATATTAAATTTGAAACGTCAGACTTTAATTTATTTTTGTAATTATTTATACTATTAACCGTTTAACTGCGTGCGTGTTTTGTAAATCACATGTAAACCACATGTGAACCACATGTAAACATGTAAACTACCTCCTAATATTATAGGAGGGTGCAGTATAAACAAGCTAATTTATGCTAATATCAAATAAGAACTCTCTATGTACCACAAAAAATAAAATAAATACAAAAAGAAATCTATTTGAAAAATCAAATATCAATTCAGTAATAAATGAATTTACTTTCATTTTACAAGAACTACCTGTAATTACAAAGTTAAAGGTGGGCCATTGTTTTAAGCTTGCTTTTACAAAAATTATTTTTTTATTGCGAACAAAGAATTAGCGATGAATAATGTGTTATCTGTAACAACGTCACCTTTATGCACTATCAGTATGTTTCAACATCTTTAAAAAAAGAAAGAGTGAAATTCGCGCGGCTTTCCGAGTATGTCACTTCGTACGAGGAAAAAGGGTAACAAAGAAATTATCACATATTGTCGTATCAAGTATCGTTTGATAATTCGCGAAACGTGGCCTAAGATTTACGAGAGGTCGGTCTGTTGAACGTTGACAAATGGAGCTCGATGAATCGGTTCGAGTTGGCATTGGTGATGATAGCGCGTGCCGGAAATTCGTCCTCGACCAAGCAAGGGCCTCTATGTACAGGGTGTCCCATATTTTCACTGCTGAATTGCGTTAACCCTTTGGAAGGTGATTCACATTTTAATACAATTGGTTGTATTAATACAATTTGCAATTGTTTAATACAATTTGTAATAAATATTCTTTACTTGAATCTATAATGTTATGATGAATGGTATGAACACAATGAATAGCAATTAATAATAAAGAAATAACTTCGAAAGAATTTGTCAAACATTCCAACCGAAAGATTTTTAAGTTACCATCTGTAAACAGTAAAAATACCTTCGTTTGCAAAAGGGTAACATATTCTATTCGTAAAAGTAAAAAAGTATGTTACGTCAATATAGGCTTCCAAGAATTTTATTAAAAATTTATTATAGAAATATTGAATGACAACGGACCGCTTTGTCATTCGATATTACATACAGGTTCTAGATTTGACCACATAACTTTACTAGCATACTCTATAAATGTTTCTATGAACTGTTTAATGCATTATGAAGAGTTGTTAAAAAAAATATGAAAGATATTTCGTAAAAGTAAGACTGTAACATTGGAAAAGAAAGCCATTTTGTTTCAGTCGAAAATCATTTCTAGCTCCTGATTTAACTGTTCAATACATTAAATGATAGTTTAATGTATTTACAATTCTATTTAATTTAAAATTGTATTAACACAAAATGTTAATATAACATCTTTTTCTTAATTTTATGGGATATATATTCATATGGGTTAAGTTCGTATAGTATGCAGATAAAAAACTGAGACACCCTGTAGGTACGGAGGCAATGACATTGCTCACAATGCCAGGATGTAGTCCCGCCTGCATCGGACGATGCCACTGTCCAAATCACGCTAACTGCAACGCACCGCAACTTTTTCTCTTTTACAACGATTCTTTGCACTAATGACGGTGGTCACGAATGCGTAAACCACGATTGAACGCACGGAATGAGACACGAGAAACAGAATACTGCGATGTAGGATATGTGACTACTGTTCGGGACCTACATGGCCATATTTCCGGAAGGGTGCATTTTTCAACGTTTGTCGAGGTTATTTTATTTCAAGAATTTTTATTGCTCTATTTGTATTCAAAGATTGTTGAATTGTTTGTAAATTTGACAAGTTTTGGACGCTTTTGACATAAATTTTCAGATTTTCAAATTCTCACATTTCCAAAGTCTCATGCTTCCAGATTTTCACATTTCCAAAGTCTCACGCTTTCAAATTCTTACATTCCCAAAGTCTCACACTTCCAGATATTCATACTTCCAAATTCTCACATTCTCAAATTCTTACATTTCCAAATTCTCACATTCCCAAAGTCTCACGCTTCCAAATTCTCACACTTCCGGATATTCACACTTTCAAATTCTCACATTCTCAAATTCTTACATTTCCAAATTCTCACATCCCCAAATTCTTACACCCCCGAATTCTCACGTTCCCAAATCTTCACATTCCCAAAATTCCACAATTCTAAATTCTCACATTTCCAAATTCCTACATCCCCAAATTCCTACATCCCCAAATTCCTACATCCCCAAATTCTCACATCCTTAAATTCTCACATCCCCAAATTCTCACATCCCCAAATTCTCACATCCCCAAATTCTTACATCCCCAAATTCCTACATCCCCAAATTCCTACATCCCCAAATTCCTACATCCCCAAATTCCTACATCCCCAAATTCTCACATACCCAAATTCTCACATTTCCCAAATTCCCAAATTTAATACTACACATTTTCAACCCCCCCTCCCCCATTAAATATTACTTCTTCACCTTACAATTAACCAGAGAATTAATACTAAAAGTCACGTTTAATACTACTTTACATACGTTCCTGTGAAATGAAACAATTATTATAAACATTCTACAGTCTGTAATAAATTAAAAACGCTTATTGCACTATAACCAGCAATTAACTTCTCGATTAATCGATTTATCATATCCGCAATATGAACGTGAGATCACCGTTTCCTGTGTATGAAATTGAATGCCAAGGTGATACAGTTAGAAATCAATTACTCCATTTAATCGACTTGATTACATTTTATAAAGATAGAAATCTATTCAACTTGATAATATCCAAAGTTGTGTAAGTTTGGAGAACTATCAAAGTTTTTTACGTTTGAATTTCACTATAGTAATAATGATTTTAAGCTTTCAAATTATATTTAGATTACATTTATGTTATATTTAGATACATTATATGATTTTTAAATCGATTAAATTTATGTTTATATGATTTTTTAAATAGATTTAATTTATGTTTATATCATTTTTAAGGGAATGTTCGAATGAATTTTTTAATTACATTGAGATTAGGTAAATCGTATTTTTAAGTCAATATTAATACTTTGTCGATAATAAACAAAAAGCAAATCGTTCAGCGTTAAGCAATTGATATAATAAAGAAACGACTCCTCTCGCAAGAAATCACGTTCGTAAAGACAGGATCGAAGCATGAAACAGTTGGATACCGAAAGAAAACAGTGACAAGAAGAAACAAGAAGAGCACAGAGAATTAATGAGACGTTCCTGTATAATTGGAACATCGAAAGAAATTGTGGTAATACAACCGGATGATTTCGTTTGACGTTGATCGAAGCATTCAGCGTTGTGTTACGCTCGATAAATCAACGCGTTTGATATCGAGCATCGATAATTGTTCAGTTATACAGGGATAGTTTGATGAGAAAAGGTTGATTGTTGGAAAGAGGAACAATACTGCGCAAAGAACCGTTAACGGATGGCGGTATTAAGCTGTGACGTGACTTTAAAGGAGCAACGAAATCGTAGGAAATTACATAACGTGGAACAAGATTGTGAACAACACGTATGTACGTAGGTATGTACATATATATAGAACGAAACGTGAATCACTGCCTGCTATTAACGGTTTATTCACGAGTTTTTTAATTTATCTGCGAGAGAGCGAGCAAAAAGTACTTAATTCTATGTTGAGTTGATGTA